CCTGCAGCTTGATCTTCTGAAGCAGGATTTCAGTAAGATTATTCCAACTTTGGCAAGTTCTTTTCACCCAGATTTCTCTGTGCATGGGCAAAGAGAGCATTTCAAAGGGTAAACAAAATTCTGTGCAGCTCTCTTTCCCCAGCACCTTGTTTGCTGGAGACAACCCTGTACCAGCCTGCAGAGCCTTCCAACAGCAGAATGCTGCTGTTCAGTGTCCCTCCTCCCTGTCTGAGCCACCATCTCCAAAATCTTGCAATGCCTCTGGTTTCACTTGCTTTGGTTTTTTACACATGTATGTGGTGATCACACCAGACCCTACAGCAACCTGGCCACCTCCTTCCCTGGAGATGCTGCTCATGTGCCTGGGAAACAGAGCTCACACTCAGCATCAGCTCTCTGCCTGTGGCCCCAGCTCTCCTCCCACAATAAGTTTCTGGGTTTCCCAGACTAGGTTGAAAAGCAAAGAAAAAGGATTTTGGAGTGACTGCAAGGCAGTTTCATAAATATGCATTAGCATTAACTTCACCCCCATCACAGCAGCAGGCTGAGCTCTCAGAAGATCAAACCCAAAGCTGACCCTGAGCAGCTCCACTGAAACCCCTGTGACTGCAAGGCAGCACTCACCTCTCTCTGTGCCATGGCTTGTACCAGGACTCGGCTTCCTTCTCAAAAACATTGTTCCCTCAGCAGTCACGTTCCTGTGCTCACATCCTAAATCACAGCTAGTGATTCCAGCATCTGGATCCCCAACTTTGAAGTTTCCCTTTCAAAGTCCTTTCATGTTCTGCATTTTGATGCGCCACGTTCATCTTCTCCTGCTTTCCTCTATCTGAGCACTTCCCCTGATTGTGAATTGTATCAACCAGCTTACAAAGGAATTATTGCAAAGCTTTTCTCCTTGCCATCAGTGTTATGTAGTTTATTAAGCATATGTTTTGTTGTTAGAGTGGCTTCAGAGGCAATGTCTAATAAAACCCCAATTTTTCCTTTAGTTAATTGTAAAGTTAATGCCTTAAACCTCCAGGAGATATTCCTCCAAGAAGAAAACAAATCTGGATTTAAACCTAGTAGTTTTAAAGGTTTATTCTAGTCAGCTCAGGAGATCAATAGACACTTCTGTTGTATGTGCTTTAAGGGCTGAAACGCTTGGAACAGATGTAAGAAAAAAATCACATTTTTGTAGAGGGGGGAAAAAAACCATCAAGAGTTAAACAGCAATTTCCAAGCATGTTTATCACTAGGCTGGTAGAAGAAAAAAAAACTAAATACAAGTAGAACCATGGAAATTAATTATTTCCACAGTTATGTACATAAATATCTGAGCATGGCACATTTAATTAATGCATATGTGTTCAAAGATGAGAGATAATTTGTAAGAAAACCAATTTGGCTTCTCCTGCTTTGTCATACACACTGAAGACATTATCTAAGTAAAAATTATTCTTTAAATGTATTACTTTGACTTGCCACTGATACCTGGTAATTATAACTTTAATAACACAATAATGTATTATAAGAAAGATTTTTAGGAGCTTTATACAATGCTGCTATCTCCTTTAGTTTCTACAACAATGCCAAACCCAGCTTTCCTGTTGTACTCCAAATAATTCCTCCCTGCATCCCTTCTGGAGCATCCATGGTGAGTGATCCTAGCAAGTGATGGGGCACAGAGACATGGGGTCACCTGGCACTGGCACCCCTGTTCTGCCAGCTGCATCCACAGCTGCCCAGTGCTAAACAGAGTCCAGACAGCTGAAAAAAAAAAACATCTGGAGAAGAGATGGCTCCTTCCTGCTTTCTCCATGCCCTCTGTTGGTGTGGAGCTGGTGCAGGGGAGCCGTGCAGGGACTGCGGCCATCTGTGCAACAGTTACACGGAGCTAAGTGCACCATCTGACATCGCCCTCAGATTTCAGGAATTACTGTGATTGCTGCTGGGGGCTGTAGCCACACTCGGGAGGAGAGGTGATCTGTGAGATGCTGCCGATGAAAACACGAGTGACAGCACAGCTTGTCATGCTGAGGTGGCAACTTTAGAGGACACACCCAACTGCTCTTATGCTTGCGGAGAGGTTTTCTTCAACCTTTTCTTACAAAAGGTAAAGCACAAAACCTGCCCGTGCCCCTTCTGCCTGGCCTGCGAGAGGAAACCTCGTGCTCCCTCCAACAAGCCCTCAGATGTCGAAGTTGCCAGCTTTCAAAGAAAACACGTCAATGCATTTCTGTACTGGCTTATGAGACTGAGGACAGGAGAGGGGAAAACAACAATTCTGGTAAGTTTCTTGCTCGTCTCTTATTGTTTTCCAGAAGCATGTGGTTAACCCTGGATGACACATAAACATGAAACATAACTACATTCTGGAAAAGGCACAGATCTGTGAATTTCAAGCACCATGCAAGGTGCTGGCATGGGGAATGCCTGCTCTGGCTACAGCCAATAGGCTTTGCAGGGTGTTTGGTTTTCTCCACTACCTCAAAATACTTTAATGCTCCTGCCCCCAACACCCTGGGAGCAGGGCAGAGTTTAGCAGCACTGGCAAAGGGGCTGGGGCCCTACAAGCAGTGCCTGTTTCCAGCACTGCAGCCACAGGCAGAGGCTGTGGGCAGAGGCAGCTTGGAGGCACAGACAGATGTGGCACAGCTGTGTCTGACAGCCCAGACAGGGCACTGAAGCACACAGCCAACAATGAAGGGAAATGCACTAGAACATGATCAAAGAGAAACCCAAACCCATTCTTTTCCAATTAAAAAGTGAGGTTTGCTCCTGCTTTACTGGACAGTCACAGACAACACACACACCAGTCTTGTGTCAGTAGTGCAGGTGGACCACGGTTGCAGGAATCATGCCAGGTACTGATTTTGTTGTTTGTTATTCTTAGTTCTTGGTAATTTGTAAATCTCTGAGCTTCCAAGAGACTCAGCTGCCCACAGCCTGCCTTCAGCACTACTGGAGCAGCTATTTCAGAACAAGAAGCCAAAAAAACCCCAACAACCCGCTGGGGAACAGAGGCAATGCAGAAGTGTGATTTCTGTTGCTGCTGTTCTGAAGAAATGGCAGAGAATGCCCTGCCTGGAAAACCACTGCCTTGGCACCACCTGTTACCTTCCCGTGGGTACAGGGGGATGGCAGGGAGGCTGTGCTCAGGTGGGGAAGGGCTCCCAGGGCTCTCTCAGGGTGCTGCAAGGCTGTTCCAACACATCTGGGAGAGAGGGAGGGAGGAGCAGGCACCCATGCACGGGCTGGGATACCCGGGGGAGGGAGCAGAGGCCCGGGGAAAGGCTGTGCCACAGCTCGGTGTGCCCCGTGTGGTAAGGCTCTGCACGGGACCGGAGCCAGGAGCAGGGAACTCCCCCTGGCACAGTGATTGCCACGGAGAGGCAATTTACAACAGTTCAGAGAGGAGACAAACTTAATGTTGTTCAATTACCTGTGAAGCCTCACGCTGGCAGGAATGATTTATGAATGTTTCAGTGAAATTCATTCTGATACAAACACAGCCAAGGATATTTAAGAGCTGGATTCTGCAGCCCAAGGGCTCCAAAACAGCATTTTTGTTTACCCACATTGCGAAAAACACAAAATGCAAATAGCTGTAGTACTGACTAACCAGACTTTTTTTTAACCCAAAATCAAGATTTTATGCACTGTCTCAGCTCAGCCTGTCAAACTGAAATCCATCAATTAAAAACGCAGCCGCTAACCTGGTCAGCATAACCAACTCTGTACCACGCTGTTACCATTCCAGGTGCACAAACAGGTAGGTGCCAAATGCAAACAAACTAATTCCAGGCTGACTCATGGAAAACCTAATCTATTCCAATAGGAAGAGCTCCTTGGGTTTCAGTTTGCTATCTGCTTTGATGCTGTTATCTTCTAATCAGTCTGTGCTTGCCGGGTGCCTCCTGGTTAATAGCAGATTTTGTTTAGAAAAACTTTCCTGAGGTTTTTTACATAATTCTTGTATAATCTTTAGAAGGACGTTTCTTTTGAATTCAAACACACAGCTTTTTAAAAGTATTGTTGAATTTTTTTAAGGAGACAAAGAGTTGTGGTAAACTTCACATTGATTTTAATTTCTTCCTTCCTACTCTCCTAAAAACAGTATTTAATTTTTTCCTTCCTAGGTGCTGCTTAGCTGGGAACGATTTCTGGGTTAGACTGTTCTGATCTGCAGAAATAACAGTGAGACCAAAAAAAAGAGTGAGAATATAACCAGCAGCCCGACAAATTTGGGTCACACAGAGAATCCTCTAATCCAGCAGCTCAGCGAGCAGACAGACAAACCCAAACTCCTTTGGTGGTGACTCCACGGCTACCTCTGTTTAGGATTAACTGAGGCCCAGGCTGCTCCAGAGCTTTATACCTGCGGCATGGCGCTTCCTAAGCATCGCTGTCCCACTGTCACCCGAAGGCAGCCGCGATGCGTCCGTCAGCAGCGCTGTCACTGTCACCTCAGGCAGGCTGGAGCCGCCCCACCTGCGGGCACGGCTGCGGGCCCGGCCCCGCGGGCAGCGGGAGAGCCGGGGCCGGGGCCGGGCAGAGCCCAGGGTGGGGGCGGCAGAAGGAGGGGGACAAGGACGGGCTGCGGCCCGGCCTGATGCACCGGCTGGCACCCCGCCATCGCTGCGGGCTCGGGGTGCTCTGCGCAGGGTGGGGCCCGAAGGGGGCAGCCCCTTCCCGGGGCGATCCCGGGACTGCACCCTCCCAGCCGGGGCCTCTCCTCAGGGCGCATCCCTCCGGCCCCGTGAGCCCCCCGGGGCTCCGTGCTACCGGGAGAACATCCAGCCCGAGAAGCCGCCACGGCGAGGGGGCCGCACCGCCTGCATCCCCGGCGGACAGCATCCCTCGGGGGCAGCGTCCCGCCGGGTGACCCCGGCCGGGGTCCGCCGTTCCTAGGCCGAGCCCGGTGCCGCTATCATGCGCACAGCTCCCCGCGCCCCCGGGCCCTGTCCCCTGGGCCGCTCCCTCCCGCCGCGGCCGCCCCGGCCCGGCCGCCCTACCTGCGCCCAGCAGCGCGGCGAAGGCCAGCAGCAGCCCCAGGAGGCGGCGGCCGGCCATGGCGCGGCACGGCTGCGTCTGCCGCGGGCTCGGCTCCCGACTCCGCCGGGGCGGGACGCGGCCGTGAGGGGCGGACGCTGCGCGCCACCGCCCCCCGCCCTCCCCGCCGGGCCGCGCCCCCGCCCGGCCCCGCGCAGCCCAGGGGTGTATGCAGAGGACCCGAGGGGTTTCTGCCGGAGACCCGCGGGCCCCGGAGCACGGCCGAGTGCCGGCACCCGCCGCCCTTTGCCGAAACGCGGCCCCGGCGCGCATCCTTCCGCCACATCGGCATCAGTGCCGCATCTGCTCGCCCGAGCGGGGAGAGGCGGGCGCCAAACAGCGATGGGGGACGCGCAGGGAACGAGGGAGGGTTGGGGACTGCCGCTGTCAGCCGCGGCACCGGGGGAGCCCCGTGTGCCCGCAGCCCCGGGCACGGACAGCCGCGCGTTCCCGCTGGGATGGGGCGGTGACGCGGCCTGGGAGCTGTGCCCTGCTCCGGGGACAATACAGAAGTACAGGGGAAGGAGCTGCTGCAGTTTCACCCTTTAATGCCAGGTGTTTCACGTGGAGGTTACGGAGCTATGGAATTGTTGGCTGGAAGCGACCTCTGGAGGTCTCCAGCCCAAAAGCCCCATCGGAGCGGGACCCATGGACACCAAGTTACATCAGCCACAGCCACCTGTGAAAAGCTCCAGGGCTGAAAGCTCCCGTGCCCCCCCCAGAGATGACCAGTGGCTGTGCTGGTCACTACCTTGGCAAGAAGATTCCCCTGGGTTCAGGCTGCCCCTCCCACTGACCCTTAAGCCATCACCCCCAGCTGTGTTGGCTCTGGCGCGTTAATAACTGCGCTTGAGTAGCGGCAAACTGCTCTTAGATTCGCCTCAGCCGCCTTCTCGCCAAACCAAACAAGTTACTCCTTGTGCGCCGGCTGCTGGACCCTCTTCTCTATGGCTCTTTTGAACGGGGGTAGGAATTTGTTTATAACAGGGTAAACATCTTCTTTGTGATATTTATAGGTTGTTTTGCTGCAGAAGAGGGGATGAGGATGCAGCCTATTTTAAGGAGGTATTCCTGAAGTGTTACTGGGGATTGAGAGGCTGAAGAAGTGTCTGGGTCATCGTAGTCCCATGTCACCTCCCAGCATGGTACACGCTGCTGCTCCAGCCGAGTGTCAGGACCGCCTTGGGTCCAGAAAGCCCTTTTGTTGTCCTCGGTGGAAACATTACCTGAAACGACAGCAGGCAAACAGACCATGATGGGGCGGGGGGCAGGGAGGGGGTCCTGGCCCCTGTGGAAGCGCTTGGGCTGAAGGATGCGGTGGGGTAGCAGGGAGAGGGATGCTGTATTTCTGACTTTCATCTGTGGCCACAGAGCAAACTGCAGGCTCCACAGTGCCTTGCCTTGTGGGGGCAAGACCTTTCACACCCACACTGCGCGCGTTTCTGTGAGTTTGTGTAGTTGGGCACGCTGGTATTACCGGAGCTACAGACACTTGTGCGCTGTGCGGTTCTCTGCTCCTGCAGCAGCTGAGGGGGGTAACAGGGGTTCCAGATAAGAGAAGCCGTGCTGGAGAAGATGCACTTCAGCTCCTACACTTGGCGGTCTGTACATCCACGATATTGCCTCTCTCCCTGTTTATACAAAGAGAAATTCAGGGCTACAGTCCCGTTACGTGTCAAACTAAAGGAAACTAGCGGGACAGCATTTGTACCTTCCCAGCCTGGTTCCCAATAACCTCTCCGTGTGCTATTTGCATTTCAATGGCTTTCCAAGCCTCCGGTAATTGTTGGGGGAGGAGGCGGGTAAAAAGGCTATTATTATATTAGCGTTGGATCAGCTTTAGCAAGCCTGAAGGCATGAGAGAGCATCGTGCAGCTGATGCAACCCGTGACAGTACATTGTTTGCCGTTCTGTGTGAGCCTGGGGTGTGCACCGATGCCTGGGAGTTGATTCATAATTACAAAGAGATGTATGAATGTAGCTTTGAATGGGCAGGAAGGCAGCAGCAGCGCTGAGCTCCGGAGCTGGAGGGAAACAGGGCGGCACGAACCAGGATTTCGTACTGGAATCGAGCATCTGGCCAAACCCCCGGTATCCAGGGGTGCCAGCCCTGGCTGGCCGTGCCCAGCTGGAGCTGGGCTGCGTGCGGCAGGCACAAGTTGTGTCTTTAAGGAGGCCGAGCCCAAGGCAGCTGGAAAGCCTGGGCCCCGGCCAGCAAGTGACTCAGCATCGCCTGACCTGTGCCCGGGAGCCGAGGCTATTCTTGGGTCGGGCTGTGTTTGAGGCAGCTGAGTTTAAATGGTTCCAAATTGCAGCACAGAGGATGTGTTGTGAGGCTGGAGCCTGGAGCACAGCGTGTTGTACGGCTGCCGTCTGCCCGCGGATCGCTCCGAGCTCCACGGAGCTGTGACCTTTCCGTTTTCTCCTCTTGAGCGAGATTAAAGCTGTAATCTTTAAACAGCGGAATAAACAGTCACCAGAGAAACTCTCGGTGGAAAAATATACTCGCTTTCTATTATATTTTAACAGGTGTCATGTTCAACTCTTCTTGCTCCCTGGGCTTAGCACACTTGTTTTGTAACTGAGCCAAAATATGGGAAGGGGAAATGCTGATCGGGACAGGTAATACTGGATCACACAAAATTCTGAATCTTTTTCTTCTTAAATCTATTCAAATAATTTAGCAGGCTCAGAACATGTAATCTGTTAGATCTCCGAGCCCCTCACAGCCGCTAATCAATTACCCTCGGGAAGTGATGGACCCATAAAAGGCATCAATTTAGCTACTACTGAAGCGCTGCTGTTTTAAAAGCAGAACGAGCTGTCATGTAGCAATGCATAGTATTGCCACAGCGTTATATGAGATGGAAAATACACAATTTAAAGCGAGTAATTTCAGGGGCTGAACTATGTTTCAACCTTAGTTTGTCTCCGGCCTGAGATATTGTTTTATGGCAGTATTTTCAAAAAGAACATTTGTTTTTAAAGTTAAAAAATATTATAATCTGGGGGGAGGGGAGGGAAGCTTTTAAATTCTTTAATGAAGCTGAAATGCATTTGGCCAAATTTTCTAGATGCCTTGTTTTCTAAAGATTTGATTAAAATTATGATCCAAGAGGTTCCTTAAAAACAAAAAAAGGCAAGCAGTAGTAGGAGCTGCAAGCAGTAGTAGGAGATAGGTGAGAGCTGCCAGCAGTAGTAGGAAATGAGAGGTACAAGCAGTAGTAGGAGATAGGTGAGAGCTGCCAGCAGTAGTAGGAAATGAGAGGTACAAGCAGTAGTAGGAGATAGGTGAGAGCTGCCAGCAGTAGTAGGAAATGAGAGGTACAAGCAGTAGTAGGAGATAGGTGAGAGCTCCCAGCAGCCTGCCCCACGCAGCATCCCGCGGCTGCAGGACCGGAGGATGGATATTCCCGGGTTCCCCAGCTGCACGCCCGTGCCGAAGGAAGGAGCATTTTTCAGTGGGTTTCCCGAGCAGTGGGCTGGCCACGCTGCCGGCCCTGGTGCCGAGCCAGAGCTGACTGCAGCAGCCTTTGCTCTGCGGTGCCCCCGCAGGAGCCGCTCGGGGCTCCGGACCCGGCTCGCTCAGCCCGCGGCGCTCCGGGCTGGGCGCGGGGAGCTCCCGGTGGAAGCCGCGGCTGAGCGGAGCTCCCTGTGAACAGCCTTACCTGCTCCTCACTGCTGCCAAGTGTCGGGTGCTGCTCGGTGTTACCCTCTTCCCAGAGAGCCTCCGGTCTGTTTCCTTGCATAGCCGATGCATTGGGGAATTTTTGTACAAGGTAATTTTAAGTCTTGTCGGTTCTCTGCCAACACTGGCTGTCTAGACTACTGCTATAATCAAAGGTGAGAGGTAGGTTCCTAATTACAGTTAATCACACCCTAAAAGATGCCTTGTCTGTGTGGAGAGCGCGGGCACCTTACAGAGGTGATTGAACTGGGTTTGACTGCTCCCTGTTGTGTGCTGGGTCTGCCGGGGACTGCAAACAAACGCCTCACCTTGTGTAAATCAAATGCTGCAGCCGCACTCTTAAAGGAGAAATGTTAGTGGTGCTCGGATGGACACTAACTAGAGAGTGCAGTTATTTTTGGTCAGTCCCCTGGGAGCACCTGCCGAGCATTTTCTCTCATTTCAAACCTGGTTGTTCCTGCTGAGAAAGTCTGGGTCAAGGTGAGTGCCTGGCTCTTCCTCGGCTGTCTGTGCCATTTAAATGGGAAGGAGGAAAGGAACCCGAGCAGCAGGCTGGGTGTGAGCAGTGGTGTACTGCTGCAGGGATGAGAACAGGACTGCTTGGGATGGTTTGTGTACCAATGAAATGCACCTGGTACCCAAGCATCCACGTACAGTTTTAGAATAAAAATGTTGAAACATAAACAGAGAAAGTTAATTCTGGTCTCATTGACTGCAGGATGACAGCCAGTGGGTTAAACCAAGGGGTTTGTGCACCTGTCTGAAGCTGAGGGAGCAGCACAAGCCGTGGTCCCTGTGTGAAAAGTTTCTGAGAGTTATTAAAGCTGTTGTGTGGACAGGATCAAGCATCAGTGTGGGGACTCCAGCATCAGGGGAGCTGGCTGTCCCCTTCTATGGGAGCAGGACTGGATGTGCACAGGGATGGGCTCGCAGGGTTCCACATGGGAGCTGCCATGGCCAGGCTGCTCCTCTCCCACTCCCCAGCTCTGTGTGTGTCTGGGAGCACTGGTCCCGAGCCAGGCCCTGCTGGATTTTGTCAGAATAATAACTGTGATCTTCCATGGAAGGCTGCTGGGACTTTGGGCTCAGTTCACATCCCTTGTAAATGCCTTAGGAACCCATATTTGTTCTCTGGATTCCTAGAAAGCAGACAAACCTGGTGTGATCTGTGGGTGGTTTTTGTTTTGTTTTGGTGGTGGTTTGTGAGGTTTTTTTGCTTGTTTGTTTTTATTTGGGTTTTTGTTTTGTTTTTTTGTGGGTTTTTGGTTTGGTTTAGGGTTTTTTTTAGTTTTGTTTTATTTTTTTGTTTCAGTGTTTTGGGGGTTTTGTTTTGTTTTTTAAATTTCCACCAGAGACAGAAATTGCTGGCTGAGAA